CTTTCCCACTGAGAGTGTCATATCGAAACATTTCGGTGATGGCCCAATCGGGGAGTTGGGCCTCCCTGGCTCCTTCTTCAGCAAGCGCAACATAATTAGCCGCCCAAATCTCGAAACGGTTCAGTCGAACTAACACAGCATCGGAGGCGGACGCATGATACTTAATTCTGACGGCTTTCACCCGACGCCTAGCGCACTCCTGCCAGAACAGGTCCCAGAAAGTGGGATTCTGGGAGTGGTGAAAGCGAGGTCCCGAATCAATCCCACAGACCACGGAATCAGTATCTCCGGCGAGAATGAGGTATCCCTCCGTAAGTTGGGCAATGCGATAGCAGGCCCACAGCTCAGACAAAGGGACGGTCTGCTTGTATGTGGGGAGCGGCCCCTTGGCCCACCCCAGAATCTCATCTCCTAGGAAAATGGCCGCCCCCCATCCACACCTTCCAAGCCTGGGGTCAGCGGAATTGGGGCCGCCAGACCCATCACCTCCGACATAGGCCCCAGGGGGAAGGTGCAGCTTTTCACCTTGAAGGGAGGGGGGCAATTTCTCTATCCCCTGGATCTTCAAGTGCTGGATATTGAAGGTCCACGCCAAGGGCGTGAGACCACGCAGCCAGAAGCACGGTTCATCCTGGCACCCCTCGCGCGCGTCGCCTTTGGGATCCCAATGCAAGCCTTCGTCAGGCAGCCCGAAGTTACAGCGGCACTCCCAGATCCGGTGGAACAGACTCTTTGCACTCTTGGCACCTGGGGCACAACCGGAAAATCCAAGCTTCTAGAATGGGCGAGGCACTGTGGAGCAAGGCCTGGTCGGCCTCCCTCTCGACCATGCCCATGCCACCCTCTTCTTACGAGACAGGGTCCTCCTCCTCCAAAGGGTCCCCCCCCCCCCTGGGTCAGCAAGCGAGGCGGGAGCCCGCGGGGGCCACGGGTCGTCCTGAGACGAGGAGGCATCCGCAGCAGCAGAGGCACCAGCAGCAGCAGGGGAGCCGTCAGGAGGGGAAGGGACGATAAGGATGCCCCTGCGGCTGTCGCAGTCTGCTTCACAGTCGAGGGGCGTTCCGTTACTTTTCTGCGTCGCAGTCGCGATGCGGTTTGCTCTCTAGCGTCCGTCGCGGCACCAACTTTCGCATTCTTCTGCCCGCGCGCCCTGCCGGAGGCAAGGCCCACCAGGAGCAGTACAGTGTAATGCGTTGTCTCGCCCACGCGCCGACGGGCGCATGGCTTCTTGACTTGCGGCTTTCGCTGCCAAAACGCTTCGCTGCTGGCCGCAGGGCCTCCGTGGCCACCATGCGCAGAGCTCCTGCTGTATCATTGTCCTTGCGACGTGCAAGGGAAAGGAGGTGCTGCGTCAAGGTTGTGAAATCTATACCGTCCTGGGAACCCTTACCATGCGGACGAGAACTGGCAGCACGAATCCAACACTCTTGGTCTAAAGCTTGCTCGATCTCAAAGCTGAGCAGATGCTCTCTGTCAAGCTCTAGTACGTGAAGACCTTCGCCCCTGGCGGTCCTCCAGGAGGTGGGGCCGAGAGGGTCTCAGTGGAGGTCCATGAGGCTGACTCGGGCCCAGTGCCTGGCGACAGCCTGCAGGTGCGTGACCGTGCTGCTCCAGACGATCTCAATGGCGCGCATTCGCTCAGGCATGTGGGCTGAAGTCTCCAGCCACGGTGTGAAAACCTGCATTCTCCTCTGAACCATGGGGTCGTCTTTTTCTTCGAAGCCCAGTCTTGTGCAAGTGGTTGGGCAGCCCCCTGGCCCCCTGCAGCCTGCGAGGCCTGCGACCGAGCCCCGAAGTTCCAAGGGCGTGCTGGGGCCGAGGCCTTGTGCCATCTGCCCGCGGGTGACTGCTGGTCCGTGCCCAGTCTTGGCCGGGGCCCGCGCTCGGAGAACGCCCCTGACTGGTTTGGAAATCTGGGTGGCTCGCTTTTGACCTTGCTCAGTGCGGCGCTTGATGACTGAAGTAGCACGCCTGGCCGCGTGGCCGCCCGCGCCCAGATCCCTGACTTCGTTGGGGCACTTCTGCGGCGCTCCAGCCGCGACTGGGGCACGTGAAGTTTTTGTTTGGCAAGGCGAGGCGGATGCGTGGCCAGCGCTGACTTGCTGGAAACTTGGAAGCCAGTTTTGTTGAGTCTGGTGGCTAGGGCTATCGCTGCCGCCTTTGCGCGAGAAACAACCTCCGCCTCCCGACCAATCTCCGTCTGTCCGAGGTCCTCAACCCACGTGGAGAGGTCCAGGAGTCTAACATCTGCGCGCATGGACTCTTAAACCTGCCAAAGAGAAAGCTTTGCTAGGTCCACGCTCTGGTTGCAGTCAGCAATGAGGGACCCATCTGGGCAGATTAGTTTGGAGATAACTCCTCCTGCTCGGGGCCTCCTTGGGCTTCGGTGGATGGTCAAGCCGAGCGCTAGCACTGGAAGGGGATAGGCGACCCGGTTGGCCGCGCTGGCCACCTGGAATGCCCGAACGTGGTCGTAGAACTTATCAACGTCCCAAAGAATCTCAGCCCATGAGAATCCCTGGGGCCGTTGCCATCTCTAGCATACATCGCCTTATGAGTGCTGCACCGAGCGATGAGCCTCCTCTCACCACCCTGTCCCAATGCTGGGTCCGCTGAGCACTCCAATCAGCAATCTCCCACCTCCGACCCTTCCCCACGTCCGATGCAATCCTCGCGTCAGGGGGATGGGCCGACCAGCCACCTGACTTTTGTGAATGAACTGGGCGGGGTTGAGGAAGACTTGCGGGGGCCGGGCCCCTGCAGCTTCTATTCTCTTGAGAACGTCGAGAAGGTCCTCCAGACCTTCCTTGCGAAGCCCGCGCCACCAGTTCGGGCGCTGCTGACCAGCCCCGACTCCTACAACGCCTCTGAAAGACTTGCGGGCCTCACATAGCTGTTCCCTGTCGAGGTCTTCGAGGGGCCCCCTGCGGGCCTCCAGGGGAAACCCTTCCCACCAGCCTTCGGGCCCCTCAAAATCGTTCGAGCACCGCGGGGCTTCCCAGAAGCTGGCCTCCTGATCTGCGGCCTCAAATGGAGCCCCGCCTGGCGCTGCCATTAGGGCGCTCCTCGGGAGCAAGGTCGGGCGTCCCTTGGCTCCAGGTCGTTGGTCCAGGCGCGCAGCCTGCCTGCGCCTCTGGAGAGCGAGCGCCGGATCCAGTCCTGGAAGCTTTTGTGGCTGGTGCGCACGAGACGGAGCTCAATGTTTTGGGCCGTCCTCACCGGGATGCTCGAGCTCCTTCTTGCAGCGCTCTACAGTCTTGGAAATAGCAATGTTACCGATGGTGCGCAA